ACGCATTAGTTTCTCTTATGATTCCTTCGATCTGTCGTGCGATTCGCGACAATACTGCGATGTGCTCTCCAATCCTGCCGCTTTCTACATATTTAATGGTGATGGTTGAATGACGACTGTTCATGATTCTACTTGTTTCATATTCAGTGTTTCAAATGTTCAATTGGGCACTTGCGATTTTTGCGAATCGCGCGAAGGATCGCGGACTCTGGCACCACCCTAAAAGGATGCAATGTGCCTTAGAGAGGGGGTGGGGTGGGGTGAGTTTCTATGAAGGCCCTAAGGACTGAGCCCACGGAGAGGAATGAACTGTGGAGTGAATGAAATTTTTTACGCACTCCAGAGTTTCTCTTTTTCTCTAAGGCTTATTCCCAAAACTGAGCGTTTTGGCTCCCCACTTTCTTCACGATTTGGGGCGCGGGCGAGTTGGTAGTGCCCGCAACTGTGCGGGTAGGTTTGAAACACTTCATCAGCACAGTTCGCGGGCACTATCAACTCGGCCGCGCTTCAAATCGTGCCAAATGAAGAAAGTGGGGGAGCCGAGCGATTTCATAACCCACCGCTCAATACGGTCTGTCTCCCTCTGACCACAAAAAGTTCCGACATATATTGGGAAAATTGGTTTTGTTTGACTACAAATATGAAGAGGGCGAAAGTGATGTAGTGGCAAGTGACACATTTACCACGCGAGCGGTTCGGGGATCAAATTCCGGGTCTGCACGCTTTCCGCGCCAACTAAGCCTTGGCTCCGGTCAACAGAATCGAGGAATCGCGCGCCAGTGAGTGAGATGGCACGACGGTCCTTGTGCGAGGTAGTGTGGTGTTGTTGATTGTTTGTTATAGGGCGGTCCGATTGTCTCAACATCGTAGTGAGCGGATGCGGGTACTGTTTGAGTCTATTCGCGATGACTGTGAGTTAATGGAGCATGGCACGGGCGAATCTCTAATTGTGCTTAACCCTATCTTGCGACTCAGAGCAAGCATATCAGTCAGCTTTCACTTAGTCTAATTCTAATATTTGAGTAGTTTCGTATCTTCAATCTGTATAAGATAATGCTAATGTGCTTTAATATGTGGTGTGATATTAAGATGGTTTCTTTCTTAATTTATGGTTCTGCTGTGTATCACAACGAATGAAATTGGGTTCTAACGAACTGGACTACCAGGTATTTCACTCACAGCTTAACCTATCGCCGAGTAGCTTTGTGACAGAAACACTGATTTTCTCAGGGGGAAGAGGTCGGGAGCTATACAGAACATAAGATAGAACTACCGACAGAACCAGCATATTTTGATCCTTATCTTATTGCTCTGAGTAGGGATTGTTTTCTCTGTGGCAAAAACTGTGAAATATTCGCTAGTCTAAAGAATTCTTCCGAGTCAAATTCACTCTTCCTTTTGCTGTAAGCCAAACTATTGAGGTATTTGCTTCGATGCGCAATCGTGATTCAGCTCTTACACGCTCTAAACACGCTGAATTTTTGAATGTGGTCATAAAAAAGATGTTCGGGATGGATCGTTCACTCTGGCTTCGTTCAAACAGAAAGGATGTTTAGATAATGTTGTAGTCAACCATATGATAGCAAGCAATAGCTATTTTTAGGTCTCATTCCTGCGAATATATAATAGTAGACTATTAAAAGAGTTGTTTCTGTTAGGCGATTATATCATTGAGTGTTCAGTGCGAGTCACGGCGAAGAAGTACGCGGACAGGTGCTTGATACCATTGTTTCCCCCAGATATAACAATACACGTATGTGCTTTAGCTGTTCGCGCTTTCGCTCATGCTCAGTTGCTTTAGACTACGTTGTCCGCATACAAAATCGTCAGTTTGCCGGACAAGCCACAGAAAATGTCCGATAGAGGCAGAAGCAATTAACCCATTGGCGACAATGCGATTTTTCGCTTGTCTGCCGCGTCGGACCGCGCCTTTTTTGACATTTTCGAAAAATGTGTCATAATGCGGCTATCCACCTGCACCAAAAATGTTGAATCTTGAAGCATGAACTGTTAGAACTTTGCAAGTTTCGTATGATTGCAGACCGCTTCCAAAATGAGCGTAAATCTTTAGGTTTTGCCGAGGGTGTATATTGGAGCATGCCAGAAAAACTTCAAATCTCCACTTTAAAACCCGTAAATGGGGTCGGATCCAGATCTCTCTTTGTGAAATGTTGTAGCATTACTCTAGCTGACTCCAGGCGAAAAGCCAGCCGGATGCATTCAAAAATAACAAGCTTTGCCTTGGAAAATCACTTTCAAGTACCGCTCGTGTAAAACATCAACTAAGGAAGATATGCACTGACCATTAATACCGTAAGTATGACAACGCCTTCCTGATTAGTATGCTATAGGAACACTTCTGGAAATCCTGCGGAGAAGAGTTATCTCAATGCTGCATCCCAACATCGACCCGCATTGTCCGTCGTGGCAAAAAAAGTGCGTCCCAACATCGACCCGCAATGTCGCCAAAGGGTTAAGAATTCATTTAGACTTTGTTTTTAATCCCAAAAGTTGCGATAAGCCGCGGTATATATGACTCGATGCAACAGTTTTTGTTCACAGCATCCACATAACTCTTACTGGAAACTAGTAGCGAGCGTCAGCTCTGTTGCCTCGTAAGCACGTGGGTAGTACTCGCTACTCATTTTCAAGGAGTGGTTGGAAGAGCATAAGTCTTGGTAACTGAAAAGAAGTTCTTTCGTTTATTAATAACCACTTACATCTGTTAGTTAAGATTTCATATGAATAATTCAAGATATAAGTTAGGGAAACCGTGTCAAAGAAGAATTTCCAGTTTTTCTTAAGCTCTGTTCAATTACCAAAAAGAACAAATAGTATTGAATCACAGGTGGTTAAAATGATGAACAGTGTATTTTAGAAAGGCACGGTCATCATAGTTTGGAGGAGTAAGTCTACCCACTTTAAGTTTCACGCTGTAAAACATCCTACTAGTCACAAAGAGAGAGTATGAAGATCGCCATCCTACTCAGAAGTCGATACAGACAACACTCGTCCTGAAGGCTCCGCCCCCTCGCCGCACGATTGGCCGCACGCGGTGGCGCGACGAGCCATCGATTCTGTTGACCGGCCAACCAAGCCTTCCATCCCTCCGGGTCGGTTAATTGGTACCAGACTTGTCTGGGAGGATAAAAACACTGACTTGTACATCGGCTGGCCCCCGCAAGTCATTGTATAGGCCACATCGCATTCAAACGCCACTACGAATGTACAAATGGAAGTAGAATGCGTGCCGCATCCCAAGACGGGATTGATTGATTGATACCTGCTAAAGCTTTGAAAAGAGCAGCAGGTAACAAAACAAGATTTATAAAAATCACGCATCTGCTTGTGATAGCTAATAGGAAAGAGAAAAAGGAGATTGCCGGTCGAGAATGAGGAATGTAAGGAATTCCGGTTGGGGCACTATGTTACCCTTTACTGCCCCACTCCTCAAGAAATTGAAGCCGGATTTTGATCGAAATTCGTCCATGACTAAGGATTTGGCTAGAAAGTCGTTTCCGAGGGTATTTCGACCCGTAGAACACGAATATCACACCGGTTTAGCGCAAACCTTGGCGCCTGCGCCACGGCGCCGGCGCTATCACAACAGTTTTGCGCGGGGCCCGCTCGTAGCGCAGGCTACAGGCTCACTCGCAACGAACTAATGTGATATTCATGTTCCACGGGTCAAAGCACCTCTGAAGCCAAGTTTCCAGCGAATTTGGTGATCCGAGATGTTCTGGCGCCTCTTGGCGCCGGCGCTTCTGGCGCGAGCGCCAAGGAAGTTCTAGCGGTGAACAAACATGATATTCGTGTTCTGCGGGTCGGATTACCTAAATGTAAGTTTTTTCTTAAAGCCAATCCACTCAGACAAATTTCATAATAACCCCCAGTTCTCGTGGAGTGGCGGCAGTAAAGGTTAAATATCCGAAAATTCAAAGTGTGTGAGCTAATCTCAAGAACCCAGTTCCTCCCCGCTTCTAGGCTGTTCCAGCGGAGGAGGAATTGATTCAACCATCCGACCATCCCCAAAATCCTAACCCCTGAGAAGCCGAGCCTGACGGACATCTCAGGCCCAGAACAGCTAACAGGTCTGCCGATGAACACCCAGTCAAAGAAATCATGACTGAAAGTCACTTAGGAGTCAGTCAGAGTGCTAAGGCAATGTCCACCCCGAATGACGTTAGAGAGTGTGAACTTCATTTTAAAGCCTATTGTAAATTCGCTCGTGTAAAAACGATTACTGCTTCCCATGAGGAATATTTCACACCAAATCAAATCCTCCTTCGGGCTTATAGTGAGGCTGGAGTTTCATTTTTTCCTGACTTGCATTGAGTGCTCTGTCAGTAACAGCCCCCCTCCCGCATTCTACTGCTTCGAATATCGCCTTACAATAATAAAGTAGAGCATGTCAGTGTCCCAGTAATATTGTGTGCTATGTTTCAGGCCGTCATGAAAATGAGGAGTTGTAAAATTTGTGGAAAGACGATCTCAGATCGCACGCAAGCCTTCCGGAGCATGAAGCGGAATTTATTATGGTTAATGTCTCTTTCATTAGCTGGCCAACTGAATAAAGAATGCGCACGTGCTTTAGCTGACTCGATCACACAGAAGAGGCCATCAGTGTGCCATGTGCACTTAGTGCATGCAGTGAGTTTGAAACAGCTTTTATCTTTTCATTACTGAACAGAATACTTTCTTTCAAACAGGCTCAATATATGTTGGCTGAAATATTGGTCGCGGGAAAACAGATATCTCATTTCAAAGATCCCAAGGCTTCTGGGCCACACCGCATATGTATCGAACGGTGATATACCTGAAGGCCTAGTTTCTGCTCTAAACAGAATGTTAGAAGTGAGTACCATATTCAAACACAGCTGATTATCATCGTAGTACTCTGAAAATGCCAAAAACTGCAGTTTCAGGGCAGCTTCTACGTTACCTCTCGTGACGTTAGCGAATTTCTTAATGTTACTCTAAAACGTTATTACTCAACAGCAATGTGGCCTGTTGCGGCAGAGGTAAAAAGAGGTTACTCGGGTGAAAATATCACTGCATATTATTGTGTGGGACTACTATTAAAAGCATCTATTGAACCAGTTGAATTTTAGGTTGAAGGTGATGATGTGACTGAGATGAAGGAAAATGGTGAGGAATTCGCTTCCACTAAGAAGGGCTTAGCGTCTGAGGACGACGTCGAAAAACCATGTTCTGTCTATGCAGTGGTGAGAGGTGAAACAGCTGACGCTCCATTAGCGTAGGTACAGAAGTACCTGTTTCAGAGCAAAGACGACATGGACACCTAACGACATCTCGGAATGTTTTTCGACAAGAAAGTCTGCCCAAAAGGCAAAGCGTCTCATAAACAGGAGTTGTGCCATTTGTGGAAAGAAGTTGGCAGCGAAAAATCTGAAGTCATGGGCTCGTAAAAAGAGCCAGAATATGATACTGCTATTTTCCCTGTCATTAGCCGGACAAATTCAACCTAAATGCGCACGAAGGATTGCTGAGTCTCTTACAAAAAGCACAAAAAATATGCCATGTACACGTCGTGCAAGCGGTAAGCAAAACACAGCCAAAATACGTTCGTTCTTTGCAACTAAGTTTTTATTGTAAACAGGCTAAATATATGTTGACTGAACTGGTGGCGGCGGGAAACAAAATTTCGCACTTCAAAGGATCCCAGTGCTTCTGGAAGCACAGCATATGTTACCAATGGAGATATTCCTCAGGATCTTATTTCTGTCTTGAATAGTATGGCAAAAGTAAGACTCTTGCTATTATATTTAATCTAAGATGTGGTTGCTAAGAAAGAAACAAGAAAGCGACTTTTCCGCTTTTCATGCAGCAAAAGTTTTCACTGCGGGACCCAAGGTACACTAGTGTATGGCTCACTAGGACAGAAAGCGGCTTTTTCGCGTTTCGCAGCGCGAAACGTTTTCGCTGTAGGAACCTCAGGTCCACCGCTGATCATGAGTGGACCTGGAGTTCCTGCAGCGAAAATGTTTCGCGCGCGAAACGCGAAAAAACGCTCTGTCCTTGCGAACAACACCCAGTCCACCAGTGATCAGACGTGGACCAGGGCTTGCTTCAGCGAAAAGCTTTAAGGTGCGAAAAACGTAAAAGTCGTTTTTGTCCTAGCGAACCACACCTTTGAATTTGCTCTTATCTCTTATTGCGGTTATCCTGAAATCGGCAGAATTCGCAATTTCAGGGTGGTGTTTCGATCACAGCTCATGATGTTAGCGAATTCCTCAATATCGCTTTTAAACTTTACTATTCAACGGCACTATGGCCAGTAACTGAGCAGGTTTAATTTGATCACTAAATTATCCTAACTATTTTGTCATTTATCAATTTAGCGAGGGATTACGATAAGTTTGGACTGGGTTCATAGTGGAAGTGGAGATGCTGAATAATGCCCCAGTGGCGAAAAAAGCAAAGAAATCCGTCAAGAAGGCGCAAAATGGGACCCCTTTCTTTGCCCGTTGACCTCCGATAATGGACGAGCTAGCAACCAATTAGGAGGTCGTTTGCACATGTTATGCTGATAGCCTCTATCATTTCAGCAAGCATCATGCTTTGATTGATCACGCATCCCATGAAAAGTTATAGGATACACTCTGGAAGTGGAATATCTCGTCACATTGGCAATCGAAGGGCGCTGCTGCTGGGGGCGGAGCACAGACCGTGGCGGGGCTCAGAAAGGAATGGCAAGCCTTGTACGCTGCAACTAGCGCACCTTTGACCACAAAAACGCAACATTTCGTTTCCTTGGGCCCCTGACTACTGCTTCCAATGGTGCATGTACTTCCACGCTGCATACGCACTTTATCGTAATCTCTCGCTTTAAGGTCCTTGAGGAGGATGTGGTGCAGCTGGATCAAGATGAAATGCCTGGTCTAAGTGAAGCAAACGAAGGATTGTCGACTGAGGGCGATAACACAGAGACAACTTGTACTATTTCTGTAAAGGTAGGAGTTTTAAAGCATTGGTTAGCGCCTCAGTCATGCAACCAAAGGTGTCCTTGTTCAGAACCAGGACGATTTGGTATTCGATGACTTGGCGGAATATTCCTCGACAAGTGAATATTTCCAGGAGATGGATCAAACTCAGGAGATGGATCAAACTGCATTAGAGAAATATTTCTTAGTCAGCGGAGAAATGTTGATGAAGTTGTTTCGATTCTGTCCTCAATGTGGACGTAAGCTGGACGCAGTACGACTAACCGTCGCAGGAACAGCCGCAGTTGTTAAATTCACTTGCGAACGATGCTGCATAAATCCACCACATGAGGAACGATGGGAAAGTCAGAAGCGTACTGTTCCTCACACCAAGGAACGAGCTTACAAGGGAAACATGGCTTCTTCAATTGCTGCAATTAATACCGGCTTACCTTATATTGTAGGTTTGCGAATGTTGTTAACAGCATACGTATTGCTGAACGTTGAGAAATTTCACTTATTCAGAAGCTCGAACGATGGAGCGAACAGCTTGGCTTTGCTTCGTTTTCAAGATGCTTCTTCGAAAAGCTGAGTGACAGTATGAATAGAACATCTATGTAAATCGCTCTATAATTCTAATTTCCAAGATGTTGGTCAGACTCGGCGATTGCAACGCGATGGAATGGCAGCGGAGCGACGCGATCGCTCCATCGCTTGTCCGTCACGTTGCAATCGCCGAGTCTGACCGACATCTAAAAGCTCCATAATTTCTGTTTTGCAGAAGCTACGGGTAAAATCCATAATTTTCTTCTCCTATGGATTGTCTTAAAAAAACATGTTGCAGGTGCATTAAAGAAGCGTTTGTTATTCTAGAGTACATAAATTCTTTCTTCAAAAACTGAATAAATTTATCAAATACGTAAGCATCTATGAGTTATACGGAAGAACAAAAGTTGACAGTGTGTTCAAACTTTAATAAGGTAACGCGTTTGGAGCGTTTAACAAGGTGAACAGTAGCTTCAAAACAGTGGGCGACATCGGTTCATGGTCAGAAATCCTGCAATTTCATCTATTCATGCAGAAGGTTTGGAGCGCTGTATGATGAACTAGGCTCGGACATTGGTTGTTGTCTTTACTTAAGACGGTAGGAATTCGGGGTTTCGGCCTAGCGATTCACTCATGTCTGGGGAGCACATCATTCTCATTGGCAATTCATTAGTTTTGCATTGGGGGGGAGGAACATAAGCACGGAACTTTCACCGCGTTGAGTGTGGGGCCAGTCGAAATCGGAAAAAAGCATTTGTGGACACGGGGAGAATCCCGACACCGGGGGGCGTCGTAGTGTCGATGTGGTCAAGGCTTGTGACCTCGACATAAAAGAAATGACGTCATCCCTAGATACCTGTTACATTTTGCACAAACGACTAGTGGATTCACACAGCAGGAGGCTTCCTTCTCTTGTGAAAAATCGAATACTGTTGGCTGGGGACGCACTATTGCGCGACAAACCGACAGCATATATAGAAATATAGAAACTATGGGAAATGTTTGGGTTCATTAAGAGCTATTCATGGTTCAGTCCGCCGCACTCCAATATATCGCTGTGTGACAGGTCCAGAATCAACGATCGATACATATCCAACGCGTGAGACTTTCTTCACACTTTGGAGGCGCGACTAAGTCGATAGTGATCGCGGATTGTGTGTGTAAATTTGGAAAACACACTCAGGGGGCCCGAACTGTGCTGTTGGAGCGTTTTCAAATTTACCCGCACAGTTCGCAAGCACTATCGACTCGGCCGCGCTCGCCGCCGCGGCCACGCCTCAATGTGTGAAGAAGTATGAGCCTTAGCGGACGATGTCACACTCGGCGACGGACAAGCGATGAGCTTGTCCGATCGCCCGAGTGTGACGTCGGTCTTAGCCGCGGACTCCTCTGTTACTCCTTCACCACTCACTTCTACTTCGCTTAATTCCTATTTGATCTAAACTGAGGAACCATACATGTGCTAACTTAGTTGGGGGGGCCACGCGGCGGGCGCGGCAGTCTGCTCGCCTGGCATGTTCGGAAATCCGTGGGCCAGGGGGAGTGTAGCCAGCCTAGGGGGTGGGGGGTGGGGGCAGTCACTTGACATGCGTGAAAAGCTGGAATGTTCGAGTTTACACTGTCTCGCTCGAGAGAGCCCAGGTGAGCAGACTGCCGCGCCGCCGCGTGCCCCCCCCCCCAACTAAGTTAGCACCAAATTTAGGTAGGAATGAATTCAAAAAAAGGCTTAATTACTACAGAAGGAATGGTGTAGAAGTAGATGTAAGATTACGTCGCATGTATGAGCGCATTCATAGTCAGTCGTCCGATCGTAACGGTCGCATAGGCTGCCCTCGCATGGGAGAGGCGACGCGGTGACCATTGCAAACCCAAACAATATGTGACTGCGGGTCACGGTATTTCGAAAGTTTCAATTCGAGTGTGGAGTATGCGATCGCAACGATTTCAGGTGTTTTTGATGAATTCGTTTTGGAATTGAGGAGTTTCCAAACTCTTGACGCGCCCTTATGAAGATGTTGTTTTTTGATTGCGATTTGCGACTTCGAAAAATTGTAAATACGTATTTACACTTGATCCTGTATCCCTACTATATATAATGCGCTAAGTCTGTCTGTCTGTCTGTCTGTCTGTCACGAAATTCCGTATTAAGCGGACAACAACCTACTGGGTCCAGGTCATGTTTGGGATGGGTGTACCATATCTCGAGAAGTAAAAAACATACATTACCTAAGCGGAGCCCCGCCCACAGTGGGCGTGGCGTGCGTCGAAATGAGTGGTACTGAGGACCATGATTTCAAATTCAGTCACAAAACAGCCTCGAGACCGGGACAAAAGTGGGCATAGGTGTGGTTGGTAAATATATCCCTACTATATATAATGCGCTAAGTCTGTCTGTCTGTCTGTCTGTCTGTCACGAAATTCCGTATTAAGCGGACAACAACCTACTGGGTCCAGGTCAGTGTTTGGGATGGGTGTACCATATCTCGAGAAGTAAAAAACATACATTACCTAAGCGGAGCCCCGCCCACAGTGGGCGTGGCGTGCGTCGAAATGAGTGGTACTGAGGACCATGATTTCAAATTCAGTCACAAAACAGCCTCGAGACCGGGACAAAAGTGGGCATAGGTGTGGGTTGGTAAGCCAGATTGAACTGAGGAGACCCACCCTCGGTGGGCGGGGCGTTCTCTAGAAAATGGGTGCTCAGTGAAAATATTCATAACTCGGTTAAGAGGAAGCCTACAGACCAGAAACGAAATTAGTGCAGGGGAGCAATGCCTAAGGTATTTCCACCACGCATGATGTGAACGGAGGCCCGC